AAACACACTGCTCCTGTTCAGGCTAATACACAGCTACTTAACAAGCCTAGAATAGTTAAGCGGGACAAAAATGGGACAACAGCAAAGTGAGTAAAAGTCCAAATTTCATACAATGCTACTAAGTTAAATGTGGGAATGGGTGACAGAGGATGGATCCCTTACTGACTACCTGTTCTGTTAACACCCAACATTGACCACTGTTGGGAGACAATATACTGGGCTAGACAAACCTTTGGTCTGACCCAGTATAGCAAAATTCTTATGTAAATGAAATGAAGGCAGAAAAAAATCAGTAAAGGTAAGAAAACATTTTTATTTCAAGCTTCACAGGGAAGAGACCTACAGGAGCATCTCTCCTCTGGGTGGCTTAGAGTTTGTAGAGATTTCTTCTATGCTACAGGAAAATTAAGACCAAGGGTTTTAAAAGAATAAGTGCCTACTGTTCAGCTTTTAAGTCTATTCATAGGTGTCTAAGTAAAACAATAGGTTTTCAAAAATACTGAGATTCTAGCAGCTCCTACTAATCTAGATTCGGAACCTTTGAAAAAAATCAAATATTGTATATGGGTGCCTAAATATTAATTTATGAACTGAACATGTTAAAATGGGTGCTGTTAGACTACTAAAGGCTTTAGCTAGCTATGAGTAATATGACAACTGAGTTTTACCAGTAGGATGGCACCACTCTCTTCATTCAGTGGATGCACATTTTTAGCCTCAATTTTTCTTCCTTAATAAAAAAAATAAGTCTCTTTTATGGTGGTGTTTCCAATTACAGGGCTGTACCACTGATCAAGAATTGTGAGCATTCAAGGACTGATTATTCAGATGCTCCTGCCCCCGCTTCCCCATATTGTCTTGATTTGATTGGGTATTTTTCTTCCTTCCACAATTTTTTTTTTTGGGTTCTGTGGTATGGGTAAAGGGTCAGAAGACCGAAAAGCTTAGTTTTCATGTTTAATATAAACACACGGAAGACCATTTTCAACTATGATTACTACTGCAGGATAACATATTGGACCCACGTTTTCTAGCAGACAAATTTTTCTGGTGCGTACCCCTTATTATCCTAAAGGTTGAAGTTTCTGAAGCTTTTTTAGCGATAGGGGGAAACCCACCAAATTTCTGTATGCATGTGCCAAGGCATGAACACGCAGATACCTAAATAGCTACTGCAAACTGTGAGACAGAGGACAGACTACCCTCTCATAATTCTATTGAATAAAATGCCAATTTTTCAGTTACAGAAAAGGGCTAATAAATTTGCTGTAATTATGCATGGCTAGACTAAACACTGCAGGCCTGCACCAGAAGACAGTCAGATTTTAGAATTTTTCTCGTCCTGCGTTTTGCTGTTTCCTATTATATGCATAATATAGTCCATTAGCAAAAAGCAGATCTATTGCCAGAAATTCAAAGTCCCAACACCAGGCATGAAAAGCAGTTAACATGGGCACACTCATCAGTGGGAAAATTAAGCAATTTTACAGCCAGTTCATGAAATCCAAACTAAAATTCTCCAGATGTATAGAAGATAGGCAAAAGAAAAAAAATCACATTTTAAACAATGTAATTTGTTTTTAAAATTATTTCAGAATATTTACAGTAGCATGCAGGGAAAACTTCAGAATCATTAACTATCCTACTTGTAATTGCTTTGCTTTGAATCTTTGAAAGAGATATTGCAAGCCAGCCAGTTGCTTTATTTTTCTAACAAAAGATTGATTTGAGTGATTAAAAGGTAGAATAATGAAATTTACTCTTGCAACAAAGCCAGTAAGAAAGCTGATCTGAAAGCATGCATTTATTAAATATATTGGACAGAAAAAGTGAACTATTGTAGAGAAATGGAATGGCACACTTACACAGTGGCTCCTTACTATGTTCTTAAACCATCTAGACTGAATAGCAGGCTGGGAAGAAGGGAGCCACAAATAATCCACCAGATGACAATGCTACATAGTGTAGAGACCAGCATAGCTAGGAGCCATCTAGAAAGGGTTGGGAGGGGGAAGGAAAACATGAAAAAAAATTCAAACGGGAATGCTATTGGTGCATACAAGTTCATGAGTTTGGGTGTTTTTTTTTTTTTTTTTTTTTAAAAAGCACAATCCTTTAAACTGGGCCAAGTATTTTCCCCTTTCTACTGATATAACAATCATGCGGCCACTATGTGTGGAAAACATGAGTTAGTTGGGACCACCTTAAAATAGGTGTTCTCACAACCTGAAATAACCCACACCCTCAAGGGCTTAAAATTCCAAGAAATGTCTACTGCAATGTCTCTTAAAGAGAAACAAATTCTGAAGTAGCTTAATACAGCAATAAACACTTGTTGCCTTCTCTTCAGTCATATTAGCAGTATAGGCTCATCAACTAAACAATCTTGGTGAGTCACTGGATTCACTACTTCTGTGTCACAGCTGTATGATGTTGTAATATCCAAGTATCGGTCAAAGTCATAACCATCTACTAAAAGAGCAAACAAATAGAATTATAAAAAGACATCCAGATGGTGAAGGTCAGTTGCCTTTCTATATTCAAAATTACAACTGATTATTCAGTAGGTCGTTGCCTCAGCTACAACGTATTTCTAACTATAGCACACATACAAAGGATCTATTCATCAAGAGGATTTATACAAATAACTTGATTAACTCTAATGAGAATTATACACAAATCCCTTGGCCTTAGGACAGTATTCCTACCTCTCACAGGTCTTAATCGCACTCCCTCCCACCCTCGTCTTTTATAAACAAAGTATTTTGTTCTAAGAGTCTTAAAATGAGGAAATACAAATCTCATTCTGCTTTCTTCCTATTAATAATCTTGCTGCTCAAATGATGAGGCTTAATTATGTGCAGGGGAATCTGAACTTTTTTAAAAGTCTAATAGAGCTGCTTCCTACTCCATACCATGGGTGTTCCTGTATTAGGGATACACTTGAACCTCCATACTCTGGGTATTACTATTTTGGGAGTAACAAAATTGATTACATGTTTCATTTAGCTCCTTGATGCAAATTATTTCAGTATGTACTGCCAACATACATGATGTAGAAGACAAGGAAAGGCAAAGTCAAACTCCCCAAAAGAAAAGATTTAAGAGATTTTTTTCCCCTTCTAGCCACTAATACTATTCACTTTAGCTCATTTGTTACTACACTGCCTTCCCATAAGAGTAAGTTATTTTTAATTAAAATAGTCACGTTATAAAAGACTTCTTTAAATAAGCTCATTGAGTAGTTACACAGCCTATAGACCAGCAGAGAGAAAAATATTTAGGGTATCAACATGAAGGCTGTGTGTTCTGTATTATACCATGAATACTCATTCCAATGGTGATTCTGGAGATACAATGTTAGAGAGATAATGCTTATGTTATCTGACTTTAGAAAAGTGGTCTTTCTGCAACTGGAATGTCAAGGAGCCAAGCACGGGATGTGTTTTAAGTTAACCATTTCTCTGTAGTAATTCAGGTGACACTGACTGTTGCAAAGTTAGGTCTACATTTTGTAGTTTGCATTTTCTTCTTTATTCACAACATAGTTACCTTAAGAGGTATTTGTTGTATAAAATCATTTATTTACCTAGTTTGAGGGCACTATGTTAAAATATTTATATTTCATACATTTATAAAAAGGTACTTATTGCCATAGTATCGAAACACCAAAACAATATTTATCTGGTATAAAAATTAGCAGTCCAGGGTATTATAATGCAAAATACACATACAACACTGATAAGATAAGACTAGTATGGGTGTTTTAAAGATATATTCAATTACTGTTAGATTAGTGTATATTTTACTGCTATGTGGCTGTTTTTCTGATTCCAAAAACATTTGCAATGTTGTCTGTCTTCTGTAGAACTCCTAGAATTTTTTGTCTGACTAGCAACAGCACAGTGACATGAAACAGAAGAAAGGCAGGCTCTAAGTGTTAAAAACAAACAAAAAACCCAGCTGGCTATAAGCCTCAGAGAGTAGCTCCCAGGATAGACATTATAATATCTTAATGTAGACATTAAATTTCCTTTATTCTTTGATTCAGGAGGCATGGTGGCTGTGAAAGCTAACAGGTAATTATAAAGTAGATCGTAACAGTCCTGGTCATCCTCTCTAGCTTTGATAAAAGACCAAAGGGTTCCTTGTATTTCTCTCTCACTATATATACACACATTAAGGCACCAGAAGATTTACCTATTGTATGACTGGCAGCAAAGGTTGCTAAGACCTAAGGTGCATATGTCGCTTCCCTTGCAGCTGATGTTTCACTATCCACTGAGAGTACTAAAGTAGTCCTTGGGCAATGCCCTTCTCCTGGCCTGTAACCAGTAGTTTGGGATTATTTGGGGATTACCATACATTCCCTTTAGAATTTACCCAGTGAGTTCTATTGTAGTTTAGCTCCTCCTTGACTTGACAGAACTGCTCACGGGAAATGGTCAGCAGTTCTTATAAAGATAGCAGCATCTAGGGAGTGACCGTCTCCCAGAAAGAGGAGTTCAATAGGAATTTAAAAGTAAAATACATTTAAAATAGTTTCAACTTCTACATTTTTTATACTTATTTAATAAATTAACCACACAAGTTGAATCAGTTGATCAAGCTTACACCTTACAGAGAATAACCTAATTTTTTTTTTAGATACCATAATACTGAGTTCAAGGAAGTACTTGTGGTCTAATAGACTGAGCTCTGAAGAGCATTCAGATACACAAGGCTAGTAGGCACGAGGCATATACGGACATTAGGTGTTTCTGGTGACAAAGGACACAGACAAGAGAACAAGAAAAACCTGAAAGTTGAACAACATTCTTTAGCCAACAATTTTTTAAAATTAAAACAAAGAACCAGCCATGAAGCCTAAAGTGAATTAGTGAATCCATGCTTCTTTTAATCCATGTGAACACAGTCTTTCCAATGAACCTATAGAATGGGCAAATGGAAGACACTTCTCCACGTCTTTTGGTATTAAAACGCACAAAAAGTTGACTTACGTTAGTGGAACTATGGCTGCAGTCTTTGTCTGCCTTTTACTTTTCAGGGCACGAAGCTTATCACCTTGTGTTATACAGTTCGCATCATCTTCATCACTGTACTGGATAAGTAAACATATGATAAGACAAGGATTTTAAGGTTTGCCATTAATTTTGAAGTTTTGTTTTTAAAATAATCAAGTATATAAACACACACACGCTCTAACTTCTACAAGAATGAAGTATGCAAGTATAAACTATTTATACAGTAAATGTGCTTTATATCTTCCCTGATTCTTAGTTAATGCTTTGCATATTTATATGTAGCAACACATGAGCTATTCAATCAGTATACTACTTGACTTTGAAATATTAGAAATATTTTCAACATTGTTGCTTAGATATAGCATTGTTCTGGTTTCTAGTCCTTCTTGGTATTTAAATTTCTGTCTTTTCTTATAGTTGGCTTTTAAAGACCACATCTCATTTTACACTGGATGCCATTGGCTAAAAAAAGGTATCAGACAATGTTATAAAAGTCAGTTGTCATGGTAGAAAAAGGCATTTCAGAAACTTAAGAAAGCACATTTGAAATAGAAGGATACTTCTGCTTGTGAACTTCAAAACCTTGACTTGCATGTTCTAATATTTACCTACTGAATGAAAGAGTTTAAATAGAAAATGCTCATATGTCAACTCAATTGCACAGCACACTTCCATCTCTCACACTTGTTCTTCATACCTTTTTGCTCCCTTTTTTTTTAAACTAAAAAAATAACGTAGCAAAACATACAAAAAGTATCTGACATTTTGAGCTTTATTGAACCCACAGCTTTGTCCATGTCCTACGTGATCCTCAACAGCAGTCAGAACATTTACAACAGCAGAACATTCGGACGATTACCAGTTCAGTGTCTTTTCTGCTGGCTCTCCGGTTTTTTGCATCATTAATTGAAATATCATCTACTCCTGTGAGGATTTTTGTAACAGCAATTTTGCGATTTCCCCTTAACTTTGCACGGAAAATATCTCCTTCTGTCCAAAGCTCTGTCTGTTTCCTTTTATGGAATGGAAAAAATTACCATGTTACAACTCTGTAGGAATTTACAGTGTTGCTTGGTCTGTTTTTAAATGAATTAATTTTTATTTTTTCTATTAAAATACAGTTTTTAATTAGTTTCCTAATCATACATTGCAGCACAGTAACAGTCCACTTACTCTACTAGGAAGTGCTGCTGTGGTCCAATTATTGAGCCAGGTCTACTGATTCTAATCCAGGCAATGGTTTCAGCAGCTGTCATCCTGTAATGCTTCATAATATAACAGGCTATAAGTGTGCCAGTTCGGCCAAGACCAGCTGTGTAAGATACAAGAGAGGCAGGCTTCTTTTACATGTTTTTACCTAGAATTTATACTTTCAACTAAAATTTAAAAAAAACTAAATCACTTGCTTTGCTCCTATGACTGACAAATACTTAATTGCACATATTACTAAAACTATTGCTGCCCAGCTTACATGGGGAACAATGTTTTCAAAAACAGTGTTCTAATATTTGTAACACAACTTATTGTTTAAATAAAAAGTATTACACAGCTTAGGTGTAGAGAGTGACTTTTCAGTAAATCCAACATGCTTTTGGAATCAAGCCTTTCAAAGCCCGCTGCTTTTTATGTACATGAACAAATTACAAAGAGAGACATCTGTAGCATTATGCATAAATAAATACAAATGCAATTTGCATATGAATATAAAGGTAAATGCTCAACAAAGAATACAATACATGAATTTGAAAAGTGCCCTAAAATATGGTAACTACTAACCATTCCACCAATATAACCTTCAACCCACCCCCTTATCAAGATCTCAGGGGGGAAAAAGAGGGGGCCTTTGCAGTACTCTTGAAGATAAACAAATCCAAGCCTCTGGGAAACAGATTGCAAGAGAACCCTTCAGAGAAAATGCTCTGTCCACAGTCCTCTCCCAAATTACCTTCCCAGGCATAAGGGAAGGGATTGAAACTAGCTCCAGATTAAGTGGCTGGACTGATCACAACTGTTGGATGGGGGAGAGATTGGTATTGAAGTCCTACGCTCTTTAGTAATTTACTAATATCTTCAATTCTACCTAAATGCTACTAGAGGACAAGGTAAATCGTACAGCACTGATATAAATAGGCTGAGGAGAATTAGACTTTATTTTTTATATTTTTGTTGGACGAAATCAATGCTTAAAAGAAAATAAAAGCAGCTATCTCCATGGCTCTCACAACTAACAATCATATTTATAGTTTCTGGTGAAAAGCATGAAGATGCTAAAGGTCTCTGAAGAGAGAAAAAGAAGCATTAACATCAACACTAGGGAAAAATAGGCTTGCAAATCTCACAAGCCACTGGAAAAAAAAGATCAGCTTAAGTAGAAAAAACAAGCACCAAAAACATTAGTCAAAATGGGGTTACTGTTTGGCTAACTTGCAATCAATCGGAAATAAGAACTTATAAGGCAAAATGTCATGTAATTTTAACCAAGTAAAGGTTTGCTACCAACTCTCAACTCCACTTTATAATATGAATTGTGCATATAACATACCTTTGCAATGAACTGCTATTACACCCTCAGCATTTTCACAAATATTTAGGAATGTTTTTACGATAGTATCATTAGGTATGCTTCCATCAGCAAAGAAGAGATCATGATGTTCAAAACCAGCATCTGCGAATCGTTTGGCATCATACATTTTTTTGTTAAGACGTATTATGGTAGTAACCTTATGTCTTCTGAAATATGGGAAATAGGCCTCAGGAGCATGGTGGGGATAACCTATAAGCAGAAACAAAGAGACTAGTCATTAAAATTGCACATCCAAATGAAAAAAAAAAACCCTCCCCCCCATACAATTGATTTTTTTTAAATCCATTTTTAGTCAATTTTTAAAGTCCAATTCAAATACAACTAAACAAAATATTGGGCTTTTCTATTGCCAGACATTTCTATTTCCTGCCTCTAATCCCCGGTTTCAAAAAGCCAACAATAACATACCACGGGAGGAACAGTTTTTAAAATATGATTGTTGAGTAATAGCAAATTTATCAATAAAATATACAATAGCAGGGTATAAGTTTGTGTACTCAAACCATACCATTTTCCGTTTTACTTCTTGAATGAGGTCCACTGAAGGCAATGAATTTGTTTGGTATTATCCAGTTAAAATCTCCATTTTCTGCTTTCTGTCAAGAGAAAATGGATAATTTACAATTATCTCTATGTTTGCTCCAAATTGCAAAGCCAAATGCAAGCCTTGCCAGTATAAGCACATCTCCAGTCTGCCCATAGCTTTGTCAATAAAATGCCAAAGGCTCTCAACCTCTCCTATTTTTTTTTCCTTTCTAAAACAAACTTTATGTAATTAATTCCCTGCACTATTTTTTCCCCTTTCTAAAACAAACTTTATGTAATTAATTCCCTGCAAATAGAGCCACATTTGGATTTAAAAAAAAATCTTTTGTGAATTATCCCTTTTAGCTCACCTTTATCTACTACAGGTTTGGTCTCCCTGGTCCAGAACTCTTGGGACCTTAGTGGTCCCAACAGAATGATTTTGCTCGATCAGTGGAGGTCATTTCTGCTCCCCCTCCCCTCACTCACCAGCAGCCTGGTTGCACTTCAGTCCTGGCCTCCTCCCC